AGGAGGGTCGTCCGTCTCGACACGGTCCTTCAGCCGCCGCTTTGCCCTGCCTCACAGCACTGACATGACACGCATCACTTCTGTCATGTCTTCGGATGGCATCCTCACAATAACTGCTCTCAAAACGGTAAATAACTTACTTTTCATGTTAAGAGAACTTAATAAACCCAATATGTTTACATTACACAATCATGTTTAAAAAATATAGACCTGAAATGTTAATCACACTGCCATGTAACATTATATTAAATACATGACCCTGTTTGTTTCATTCAGGCAGGAGAACCACAGCAAAAACACACGCGTTAACTTCTCCGCGACCGAGGAAAGGAAGGAATCATCAACAGCTCAAGACTCAACACCCGAAGCAGTTTCGTCCACGACGGAGAAAAATATCTCTGTTCACGAGAAACTTGTTAATGTGGATCAGATGGAGTTTGGGTGTGAACGAAAACACTCTTACGAGAACAAGACGAGAAAGCTGAAGAAAGAATTCGAATTTCCTGCTGAATCCAAGGAAGTGTTCGAGTCCAAGATCTGCCAAAATCCGTCTGTGGATGAGTCTACAACTGCTTCTGTTCGTGGAGACGTTGCCAATATTCAGGATCATGAACTCATGCGATTGGCTGAAACTCTTGAATCGACAGTCGTTGAAAAAGCCTCTTATGATGATTCAGTTTCTGAACAACAGGAACAAGCAACTGTGCAATCAGAATCTGATTCGACTGAAGCCATCAAACTGGGCGAGGAAATCTTGCCCATCGTTCGAAGGGGAAGCTTCGTCCAGGACTCTTCTTCCTCGATGTCCGCCAAGAATTCGACGCTGCCATCAGAGAGGTCCTGAGGAAGTGGTCAGCGAAGACAGCGAAGTGACACACAGTGAGGACTTCCTTGGCCTTAGTCACAGCGATATCCTGGACCGCTACAGACAGCTTCGATCCCGAGAATTGAAGGAAGAGACCCAAGTCTTTATCGTCACGTCCGACAACACTAGTTACAAGGTAAGTAGTTCAAGAATCACTCTTACTAATACAATTTGTTTAAACGCCTTTTGAAGATCAATTAAACCCCAATAGTTTTTGTATCTACCTGCAACTGTTTACATGTGTGTTCTTCCTGTGAACATTTATTAATTCAAATATGATATCCAGATGTAAGCATTATGGCTATTGTTTAATATACATAAATTTTCATAGATCGTGTTGGACGTCCAAGACTTCATGAACGGGGATCTGAAGGTGAAGGTGGCGGGCGAGACGGAGGTGGTGGTGGAGGGTCGTGTGGAGAGGAGAGAAGAAGGAAGCTCATCCGTGTCCTCCTACTCCTTCCGACGCCGCTTCTCCTTGCCAGAGCATATTGACATGACAGCCATCACGTGCATCATGTCTTCAGATGGCATTCTTACAATCAGCGCTTCAAAAATGGTATGGATTATCTGGAGATGACAATTACTTATGCTATATGTTACAAAGATGAAAATGTCAGTTACTATGAATATAAAAAGGTGTTACAAATATATATGTGCACATCGCAGACACTCACAAGCACCCTCTTTCCTGACACACATACTCACACGCACTCACACACACTCTGTTTCTGTTTATAAGATCAAGTATATTTTAAGCTAATATTTAAATTTTAACAGGCAGAAGAACCGGAGGAACACAAAGTGATCAGGTCTGTTGAGGAAGTTCAAAAATCCTCTCAAGTTCAACGCTCGCTATTCCCAGCTGATGAAACCATCTCCCTCCATGAGGAATGTGAAAAAGAAAGCAAAGCCACACATGACTGCATGGACTCTGTGGCAGAAGATACGAGCATTGAAGATGTAAAGATTCCGATCTCATCTCAAGAAATGAGTCACTCGGTGGAATCTGAGACAGCACGAGAATTTGACTGATTCTGCAGCAACATCGAGTCATGACACTGATTTCGACTTTGTAGAAAGTGAAAATCAAAGCAAAGAAACTATTGACAACAAAGAATCTATTGTACCTGCAAAAGGGCTGGCTGATTCTTCAACTTTTGTGTCTGATGAAATGCAGTCTTGCTCCGAGTTTGCAGAATTTCAGATGCTTCCTGTGTCGCCGAAGTTCGATCGCCATGACTGAAACGTCTGGCAATTTGTCTGCCTCTCGTGACTTTGGAACTTCCTCTCAGGATTCTCTTCTGTCTGTCATCCCCGAAGATGAAAACAATTCCGAAACTGTAGAAGTCCTTCATCTTGAAGACTCTCAACAGGCTATTGATATTCATGATCTAAAAAACTCAGAGGAATCTGCTGACATTGTTGAAGTGAAAGGCTCAGAAGCTATTGAAATTCTTGATCTTACAGAGTCGCAGGAAGATATTGACATTCTGATGTAAAAGATTCACAGATCTGTTGATATTCTTGAAGTGAAAGGCTCATCTGTTGAAATTCTTGATCTCCAAGATTCCCAGGAATCTGTTGACATTCTTGATGGGGAAGACTCACACGAAACTGTTGCTGAGGCTCAGAATGTGTCAGGTCAGATCTCAAAGTCTTCAACCAATTTCGATGTAACTGAGGATGCCGCGTCTGTGCAAGAAAGGTCCAATACTATTGACGAGGAACTTGCACAATTTTCTTGGCAAAATAAGTATGAGAACGACTCAGCAGTTCAAGAGAACTTTAATCACCAAGCAATCCCTGAGGAAACACTCGACAGCAAAAGGACTCAGTCGGCAGCCATTGAGAGTTGCACAAATTCCGTTCAGTTATCCAGAGATTGTACCCATGAAGAGGAAGCCGTCGATAGTGTCGGGCAGCTGAACCTAGAAGAAACGACTGAAACCAAAGAATCCAGCCAACAGATACAATACTTCATCCACGACAATTGCAGAAGAGTCTGCAGAAGCTATCGAATCCTTGAAAGGAACAAGGAGGATTCAGAGAGATTCGCCAGAAGAACTCTTGCTCATCACCAAAAGAGGAAACTTCTTCCAAGACTCATTCTTCCTCGACGCTCACCGAGACTTCAGTGCCGCTCTCAGGCAGGTGTTGGGCAGGTGCAATCAAGTCAACTTTGAGGACGACACTGACCTCCGCCACACCGATATCCTGGAACGCTACAGGCAGCTTCGGTCTCGCGATCTGAGGGAAGAGAATCAGGCCGCTATCGTCACATCAGACAAGTCTTGTATGAAGGTTAGTCGACATTATTGTCATTGTTACTTTTTGTGTCATTTTGAGTAATATCAATATTATTACTAAATAAATTACTACTATGATTCCCAAATAACATTTCCAAAAGTAGGTATAAAAAGCTACCTATTATTTCCAGATAATTATGGACGTTCATGATTTCATGAGTGGAGATGTACAAGCGAAGGTCGTTGATGAGAAGGAGTTGGTCATCGAGGACTTGTGGTGAAGAAGGAAGAAGGAACCTCATCGAAACCTCTCACTCCTTCAGACGCCGCTTCTCTCTTCCACAGTTTACTAAAATCACTTCTGTCATGTCATTAGATGGCATCCTCACAGTCACTGTGATGTTTAAGGTATGTTCTAATCAAGTTCTATTATTGATATATCTTTTGCTAGTAATCACCAATGAATAAAAAAAAAAAAAAAAATACACTACGCAAATATTGTATTAAGTTATTGTTTTGCAGGAAGGAAATGTCGAGGCAAATACTGCTGAAAACTCCATTAAAACTGAAGCAAAACGCATCACAAAAGAAATCATTCACTCGAAATCACCTTCACTTCCTGCTGAAAAACGTCTGCTTGAGACCAAGAATGAAAACCAAAATGGACTGAACGAGTATATGACGTCTCAGTCCGAGGAAACTCGTCATTTCCCTCGAGATTTCACGTCGGGAACAAGACGCCTTATCTTGATTGCAGTTTCGAGGACAGCAATAGACTGAGACGCTTGGACAAGAAAGTGGCAGGGAGTCTCAAGAAACTAATAAGTATAACGTCACCGAAGACGCAATTATGGGAACGTCCTCTCGTTTGGCAAGTGGTTCTCTATCTAACTTCACAGAGAAATCTTTTCCTATCACGAGGAAAGGACACTTCTTTTCCCATTACTTCTTCCGAGACACAAGGAAGGATTTCCAGAAGGCCGTTAGGGAAATCCTGAGCAGATGGGGAGAGAAGTCCTGCGGTGACGAGATGACTTCCTACAGGAAACTACGAGCACGAAATATGAGGGAAGACACTCAGGCTGTGACGTCCTCGGAAGATGAACGCCATTATAAGGTACAGACATAGACTAATTATATAATCTGTTTCTCTGCCAAGAAATGTTATTTGAAACATCATGATAACTCATTGCCTGAATGAACCTTTGTCATGTATTTTCTTCTTTTTCAGTTTGTCATTGATGTTCACGACTTTATGGACGTTGGAGAGATCAGCGTGAAGGCTGTGAACGAGCGAGAGTTGGTGGTCGAAGGTCACTTGGAGAAGAAGGAAGACGGTTCCAAGTCCAGCAAGCGGTTCCTTCGGCGCTTCGTTGTTCCTGGAGACATTGAGCTTGAGGCTGTCATTTCAGTCATGTCTTCTGACGGTGTGCTTAAAATTTTGGCTCCAAAGAAGGTAGGTCATCTGTGTATACGTTCGGAAGTTCATACACGAATATATTGTTATATAAATATGTATAGGAAAGTTTCTGTGTCCAGCACTGTGTTTATTTGAGGGAGTAAAGAGAATAGATATAACTAGAACTGCAAACACTTGGTTCAATATACCAGAGGCGTTTGTCTAAATACATTCTAGAAACAATCGCATCAAAAAGAATATACAAGTTAACTTTGCTGTTCCGCAGGAGGGCCATAATCGAAAACATTTTTCGATTGATGTAGAAGACATGGACGATGTCGAGGCAACGGTTTCAAGGAAATTTAGAAATGGACATCGTCTCCGAGGAATATCTGAAGAAGAGAGATTCATCTTCTGATGACGAGGAATTAAGAGCTTTTGCCAAACAATCCAATAACCATTACCGAGTCACTTTCCAAGACGATGACGAAGAGTTTGAAGGTGGACACATGTTCAACAAGGAGACAAAGATGACAAATGACAGCAGCAAGGATTTCAAGTATAACATTCCAAGCCTTTCTATGGAAACCAGGGTTTTGCACATAGAGAGGAGAGGTGCGTTTGCTGAAGACTATTGCTTCGCAAATGTCCGTAACAGCTTCAGCCAGGCGGTGAGAGAAGTGCTGGAAAAGGCCAGTGAATGGACCTGTCGAAGCGACGCCATGCACAACTACAGACGTCTGCGTCAACGCAACCTCAAGTTGGAAAATCAGGCTGTTGGCATCTTGGACGATCAGGACTCGCACAAGGTGGGTGTGAAACTGCTTCTTACTAAAGCCTGTTTTATATCCCATTCGGAATCCTTCTTTCAATTAAGACTGAATAGCTAGTTATCTAAATATCATTTTTTCCTACCTTTTCAGATCGTGATGGACGTGTTTGACTTCATGAAGGGCGACGTGACAGTGCAGTTGGTGAAGGGCAAGGAGCTGCTGGTGGAGGGTCAAGCAGAGAGGCAGGACGGAGGCAGAGTGTCCCGAGTGAGCTTCGTGCGTCGCTTCGCCTTGCCTGAGCTCGTCGAGCGAGACGCCATCAGCTGCGTGTTGTCCTCGGACGGAATCCTGACGATCACCTGCAGGAAGAGAGCAAGCGGCTACAGCGCAAGGGGATTTTGCAGCGAGAGGAAGCCCCACGTGGACACAGCTGGCGGGTGGGAGGACAAGGATGCGAAGGACTCCCTCGCGGATTGGGAAGGAGCCAGTTCTCGGGCCTTCAGCACCGGCTCTCGCTCCCGCTACCATCGCTCCTATGCGAAGCAATATTAGAGTGAAAGTCCTTACAGGAATTTATAAATGCATAAAAAAGAAAAAAAAAATCTTGTACTCAATAAGCGTTTATTTTGTGATATATACATTAGTTATATATATATATATATATATATATATATATATATATATATATATATATATATATATATATATATATATTATATATATATATATATATATATATATATATATATATTATATATATATATATATATATGAGTTTCTGAAATCACATTCCTTACTACAAGTACTTACATATTTATTTTGAAGAAAAAGTTTATTTGTATATGCAAATAAAACGATAACTTACTTTGTTGTATAGTTACCCTGATCCTATGTTCCGATAGGCATGATCTTCATTTTATGAGTTTTATATGAATCAAAATTCAAAGTCCGAAAAAAAAAAAAAAAAAAAAAAAAAAAACGGGGAAAAGAATGAATGGAGTGATTTGCCAGGCCTGGAAATGACCGATTTGCCCATCACTACCTTCAGCAATTACAGGAAGATCGACTGACACAGGGAAGTGAATTGACCAAGTTCAGCAAAGGAGAATCTGCAGAGAACAGATCATTTCTCGTGTTGGCCACACTGCGTCTTTAAGGACAGGATGTTTGATGTTGTTAATTATGTTCATTTCCTTTTTTTTTCGGTGCTTTGAAGGCTGTCCCCAACGCCTTAAGTAATGAAGAATCCAAGGCCCTGACTAACGCCTGAGGGCGGACAAGAGGAAGAAATATCATCTGGATTCTAGGATTATGATAGTGATAAAGAGTGACAGCACATTGTTCAGTTCCACAAACCATATATTTCGCTATTTTATAATCTAGTCGCATTACAACCGAATATTGTTAAGTAATATTATTCCAAAAGTGTAGTTTGATTATCAAACAAGACAGCAACAAATGCTGGTTATCCTTATTTTTCACATTTTTCCCCAAAGAAGAAAAAACATGTTGATACGGTTCGTAACTTTTATTATGATGATCCTCATTTGATTATTATTACCATATTATTATCATCATCATTATCATCACTTACAGAATTTATGAAAATATTCTTCCGCGTCAACATCAGAGGCCATTAGCGGCATATTCAAAATATAACGAAGGGTGAGCCTTGTGACAAAGCCCCCGGGTTAGGAAGTTTTATTAAAATTATTATTAAGCGATCTTTGTGAATTCCCACGATGGTTAATGGTCAAAGCAAATGCATGTGCCTCTCCCCACCGGCAACAATCATCATCATCACCATCATTATCATCATTATCATCATCATTATCATTATCATCTTCAACAATTATCATTATTATCTTCATACAATTATCATTACTATTGTTATCATTACTATTATTAGTGTTATCATTTTTGTTTTCATCATTAATGTTATTATAATCATTACGGTGATCATAATCATCATCATTGTTATTATCATCACTATTATTATCTTTATCACATCTATTACTATTATCAATATCATTATCATCATTTTCAGTTTTATCTATCATTACTGTCATCATTATTATTGTTATTATAATCATTGTCATTATCAAGAACATCTTCATCCTCATCCTCGTCATTATCACTTTATCATTATTGTTATTATCATTATCATTAGTATTTTATCACCATCATCATTACCATTATTATCATGATTATCATTATTATCTTATTATTGTTATCATTATTGTTATTCCTAATATTAGTTATTATTATAACTATTATTGCATCATTTCTATCATTACCATTAATATCAATATTATTATAATGTTTACGATTATTTTCATTATATGCCATAAATGTGTGTGTGTAAATATGTATATATGTATATATATGTATATGTATGTATATATAACACACACACACACACACACACACACACACACACACACACCACACACACACACACACACACACACACGTATATATAATATATAGTATATATATATACCTATATATATATATATATATACTATAT